TTCAGAATATTCCGAACCAGGGTCCTGATTCCTGGGTTCTGTGATTTTCCTTGGCTCTGGCTTTATCTTCTACTGGGAATGGTCATTATTAGCATGTATGTTCCTCTCTCAGCTTTCTTTCCCATCTTCTGTGTCCCAGGAGAATAAAAAGACGATATGAACATTGTTTCTTTGCCTTTGGGAGCCTGGGGAATTTCCGAGAGGAGGGATGTTGGTTCTAAAACATAAACTCTGTGGGAAAATGTCTTTTTCTAGTGTGATCACCATTGTATCTTCAGCAGCCATAAGAGGTGTATAAAAAATTTTTGTTGATTGAATACATTTTAGATCCCCTGAGACTCTTTGTTACATGTTGCCAGCAGGGTGCGTGGGCACCGTGGACATCCTGGCCGGAGCGATTATTCTCTGTTGTAAGGGCTGTCCCGCATACTGTGGGATGTTCAGCAGCACCGCTGGGCTTCTTCCCACCACATGCCAGCAGCACATCCTCAGTTGTGACAACCAAAAATGTCTTCAGATATTGCTAGATCTCTTCTGGGGAGCAACATCACCCTCAGTCAGATGAGCACTTCTGGTCCGCAGAGATAGGGTTGGGACTAGGGTTCTGCTGGGAAGGGAAGGTTTGCAACATGAATGAAAGATAAAGATTTTTAAAGCTATGAGAATATATTGTATATGTGATACCAGTGAATGTTTCCTTCCTTGACATGCATTGCAAACATTTACCGTCAGTTGCTACAAGTGTCTACTGGGGTCACAGGGAAGAGAGGTGTGGCTGCCCGCTGCCAAGGCTGCAGCATTGCCGCCAACAGCTTGCACTGCTACTTTAAGAAACAGTAACTGTAGATGATACAGCTGTGGTTCAATTTTGAATCAGCAAGTTCAGAACAGACTGAACCTGTTTACAGGGCAGATCGTTTAAAAATCTTATTTGCTCTTTTGAAATTGATTCTGTGGATATGGCCCAATTTTCCTTGTTAAGCAAGTATGAAGTTCAGGTATAAGGTTTAGGCACATTGGTGTTTTTCAGTGACTGTTGGAATCAGATTTGGCTCACAGAAGGACGCTGTGCCTTCTGCTGGCCAGCCAAGCCAACTACTTACTACCATCAATACTTCCGACAACCCTGTTTTGCTACTTTGAACCCTGAATATTCAGAAAGGTGCCCAGCAGTGGAAAGAATCTTTGAGAGCATAGAATCACCCTCCTCCATGAAGAAATTAGGAAACAGTTTCCATGGAGCCTGACATCCTCCTTTCTTTCTTTCTTTTTTATTTTTATTTTTATTTTTTATTTTTGAGATGGAGTTTTGCTCTTGTTGCCCAGGCTGAAGTGCAGTGATATGATCTTGGCTCACTCTAACCTCCGCCTCCCAGGTTCAAGCAATTCTCCTACCTCAGTCTCCTGAGTAGCTGGGATTACAGGTGCACATCACCATGCCCAGCTAATTTTTTGTATTTTTAGTAGAGATGGGGTTTCATCATGGTGGCCAGGCTGGTCTCAAACTCCTGACCTCAGGTAATCCACCTGCCTCGGCTTCCCGAAGTACAGGGATTAACAGGCATGAGCCACCACACCCAGCCTATGTCTCCTTTCAAATCCCAATACATCAGTATCGTCACGTGTTAGTCTGTTAAAATAGAGCTATTGTCAATGTGATCCTTTTGGTTTTTGTGAAGATCTTCCCTACCCTGCTCCACTGGAAAACTATTTTAATATTGTTTCTTCTCAGAATATTATATAGATACAGTCTTGTATTGAAAATGGTGTTCAGGCCCAGAGGTTGTGGCTCACTCCTGTAATCTCAGCACTTTGGGGGGCTAAGACAGTGGGATCACTTGAGGCCAAGAGTCTGTGACCAGCCTGGGCAACATAGTGAGACCCTGCCTCTACAAAAAAATACAATAATTACCTGGCTGTGGTGGCATGCACCTGTAGTCTCAGCTGGGAGGCTGAGGCAGAAGGTTTGCCTGAGCCCAAGAGATCGAGAATACATTGAGCTATGATTGTGCCACTGCACTCCAGCCTGGGCAACAAGAGTGGGACCTTGTCTCCCCTCCCCCGACCACCAAAAAAAAAAAAAAATGGGATTCTGCAAAAATGGTGGCTTTGCTGAGAACATACTAAAGGAGTCAACTGTAAAACTCCATTAAAAATTGCAAGTGTATATATGGCTTGGATGGGCAGCTGAGCAGTGAGGGGTGAAAAGCAGGAAATCACAGATGGGTCACCTGTATTCACATCACATATCTGTGGCCATGGGCAAGTTCCCAGACCTCTCTAGGCACCAGCCTACTCGCCTGTAAAATGACGATAAATAATATTGACAGCTGCATAAACAGAGTTGCAGGGATTCAGTACTGCATTGGAGGTCAGAGGCTCAGCACGCTAGCAAAACTTCGGCACAGTAACTACGTGTTAGTTGTTGACACGGTTGTGTTACACTAACAAGCACTTCCTAGTTGTTACTTGATTCAAGAGTCTTTTTAAGGGACTCTAGAAACGTGATTTCTTCAAGAAACCTGGATAATGAAACTGAGAGGACCCACATAACTTTGTACTATTACCTCCTGCACTGGAATATGAGTAAAAGACCAGACTGTGGAGACACAGGCATTTAAAAAGAACCATATATAACAATGCTCATCAGTGATTTTTTTGTCTAGGTTAAATGGTATTATCCTCATGTTGTATTTGCTTAAAATTGATACAATACTGTATGAAGCAAACATTCAAATTATACCCATTCTAAGCCATTTTAAATTGAAGTAAACTGTAAAGATTAGTTAAAATTTTTTGAAATACACAGTTTTTTGAATGAAAAAAATGCAAAGTATATTTCCTTTTTTGGGCCCTAGAATCCCATCACACACACACACACACACACACACAGACACACACACACTCACTCTTGCACAGAAGAAGCCCTGTGTTTACTCTCCTGTGTGCTTTGGGGGAATCCAGGAATGTGGGCATATGTAATAGAGCAGTCAGTAAAAAAAAAAAAAAGTCAGATGTTAATGTAAAAATGATAGATTTTTCGTGCTAACAGTCTATTCAGAAAAAGTTTAAGATTTTCAAAGTTGTTTCCCTCATTTAAAAAATAAAGTTGAAGAAGACATACCTACATTAAATAGGCAAATTAATATCTATCCAATTTGATACTTCAGTAACCACAGCCCAGTCAATCCACGTGAACTGATGGATTTCATCAGGGGCCCAGGCATGGTCTGTCATTAGCAAGGTATTGATTGAGTACTTCATTCTTTGCCACACTCTTCGACATAGTTGTTTTAGGCTTAAAGTCTGACAACAACAAAATGCATATGGTGGTTAATGTGGATTTGCTTTTCTAAAAACAAGGTCCAGCAAATTTCGTTGTAAGTTCAGTGTTTTACAGTGGATTTCTTTATTGAGCTGCACCTGCCCAGTGGAAGTCCCTTGTTTTCCCTCAAACTAGTCTGTGATTGTGCTTCCTTAGTGACCTTCTCATAAGGAAGCTGTATTCAGAAATGCTTTTTTTTTTTTTTTCCCCAAACAGAGCCTCGCTCTGTCACCCAGGCTGGAGTGGAGTGCAGTGGCCCAACCTTGCATTCAGGCGATTCTAGTGCCTCAGCCTCCTGAGTAGCAGGGACTACAGGCAAGCACCACTGCTTCTGGCTCATTTTTGTATTAATATTTTTAGTAAAGGTGGGGTTTCACCGTGTTGGCCAAGCTGGTCTCAAACTTCTGTCCTCAAGTGATCCACCTGCCTCAACCTCCCAAAGTACTGGGATTACAGGCAGGAGCCACCGTGGCTGGCCAGAAATATTTTTGATATTCAGGTTCAACTCATAGGGAACGTTCACTGGTTCATAGTTCAAAGACTGTAGTCCTTGCTGAGCTTTCCCCAACCTGGGCATGGGCCTTTGGCATCGCCTCCACCTCTGGGCTCCTGTGAGTTTTGTGTACGTCACCGGTCTGCAGCGATTTAGCAACTGTTCAGGAAGTACAACATACTGAGGGGCCTTGGGGACAATTTCTCAGGGGTCAGTGTCTGATAAAGAGCATTGCTTTTATAGATTCCAGATCCTCGTGGGTCAGCTGTGATTAAGGTACTTTCTCCTCTCAGCAAGCTGCTTATTTCTCACCAAGAACCAGATATGGGCTTTCAAGCATTATTTTGGGGGTGATATGTAATCTTAGGGTGATATAATTGTACCCCAACATTTTTGAGCATGAACTGCTAATTCAATATAGGGAGAAAGAAAAGGTGGCAGGCATTGAGAGTCTTGAACTCCTTAGGTTTCATGGGACCAGGTCATTTTGCCATCCCAGGCAATGGTGCTTGGTAAAGCTAGTTAAATTGCATAGTGTGTCTGGTGACTAAACCTGTAGTATGTTGCCATCTAGTGGAACATATAGCAAACTAAAGATTAATGCAGTCTGACCACAAAGTTCGGCTGAGCTGATTAAATCAGCTGGAGAAAAGAACTGCAAGTATTTTCTAAAGGCAGGTGTTTTGGTAACATGCAAATTCATATGAAACCAGAGTTGACTTTTCTTAAAGTAGGCAAATGGTCACTCTGTGTCTCAAGAGTGAATATTCACCACTTTTCAAACATGTCACTAGGTCGGGACACTGCATTTTTATTGTCATCTTACAGTAGGCAGTTTCTCTTCTAAAGTCCTAGGGCAAATGCTTGGTTAGCACTAGGTTATTTTGGTATGTTTTTAAATGTGATCTTAAGGTATCCATTCCCTTTCTTATTAATCCATACTTACTGTTTTTGTTTTCTATTAAATTTTCCAAGAATAAATGTACTGATTTTTAGGAGACACAAACACATGACTTCACAAAGTAGGAATTTCACCTTTTAAATTCTAATGAGCATCCCCAGAATGTCCAGTCCTGTGCTTTGAGACCTGATTTTTAGGAAGACCTGAAAGATTCTACTGTGGGCTGTTTCGTGAGCATTGACGGTTTTGTTTGTGTCTTTGTCCTGCTCCTGCTTGCCCAGATCCCTCCCCGGTGCCACGGCAGCTGAATGCGCATCCAATCTGAAGAAAATCTACACAGTGCAGACAGTACAGGTAAGATCAAGAGAGGGATGAAGCGGATTAACATGGCACACGTCGGACACCTGATCGCCCACCTTGAAATCTGTTGTGCTGGCAGCCACTGTCCAGGGTTCTGCCCTGGAGTTAGCTCTCGGGTCCAGGTTGATACAACTGCCCTTGACCAAGTCCACCCCAGGGCCAGCTGAGCACACAATCAGGTGGCCTCTGCTTTTCTCTTAGCAACCTGTTGAACTTTTATTTACTACCTAAACCTTTCATAGACCCACACGAAAGGCAGACTGCCATGTGGTTGAGCGAAGGTTTTTAAGACCTTTATCTGTGTCCCTGTTCAAACTCCAGCTCTGCCACTGCCTCTCTGTGCCTCTGTTCCCCATCAGTGAGAGGAAATGGTGCCTTCCGTGCATGGTTATTAAAGATTCAGAGGTCACATAGGGAGAGCAGGATAGTGTGGAGCATGAAGGTGGAGAGTCTCTGCTTAGTTTCCCACTTCACCTCCCAATTCTATCATTCTAAATTAGGCATGAAACCCCTTTCATTTCTGTACAATTAGTGTAATGGCAGCACCAACCTTCATGGGTTACTGTGAGGATTGAATAAGATTATGTTTATACCATACTTAACGGAATACCTAATACATAGCAGATTCTCAATGAATGCAGGCTCTTAGTTTTATTAGTTCTTTCTCTATCCAACTCTGAGGGTGAACATTGAAAAAACGCAACTGGCCAGTGGCTTATGCCTGAAATCCTGACACTTTGGGAGGCCGAAGTGGGAGGATTGCTTGAGCCTAGGATTTCCAGAACAGCCTGGGCAACATAGACCCCCATCTGTACAAACAATTTCTTTAAAAATTAACTGGGCCTGGTGGCACACACCTACGGTCCCAGCTACTTGGGAGGCTGAGGCATGGCCATCACCTGAGCCTAGGAGTTCAACACTGAAGTGAGCTGTATTCACACCACTGCATTCCAGCCTAGACAACAGAGCAAGACACTGTCTCAAAAAAGAAAAAACCTGATAGATTGAGTTGATCACATTTCTTTTCTTCAAAAGCAGATTCTATCCATTTTCTCCTGCCTTCTAGTTTAGTGTGCTGGTGCGGATAGAATAAGGCTTTTGAAGCTGCTTCAGAGTTGCATTGACCATATGTCCATGAATTTTCTAGAAGGGACGGGTTTTAAATAGCTTTCCTGTTGTATCCCTAAATCTTTTAATGTCTTAGAAATTCCAATAGATCAGCATCTAGATTGTGTCTCTTAGGCAGCCTCTTACATGCAGAAGTAGCATGGAGATCCATTTTTTTTTTTTTCAGCCTGTTGTCGCAGTATCTGGTTCAAAAATTTGGCATGCGTAGTTACAAAGTCCCAGGAATCTGATTGTCAGGTGCTGCGTGTGGCTACCAAGGGCAGTGAGCCGGCTGTGAAGACACAGTCCTGACTGTGGGCCATTTCTGGTGTAGCTGGGGAAATGACATAAGCGTGTGGGAAGCAGAGCAGCAGTGCCGCTGTGAATAACCATGCAGTGCCAAGTACAGGCCGCACCGCAAGGCAGCATGAGGGCCACCGTCCAGAGAAACCAACGCGCTCAGAGTCTGGGTTGCCTCGCTGCGCATCTCCTCTTCTGTGGATTTAGGGACTTTTGTTACCTCTTTCCAGCAGCCATTTTACAACCCTCAGAGCTCTTAATTTGAAGGCCTGTCCTCATGTAGAGGCTCTCAGAGTCTCATTAGACTTTTCCCAACCCACAGGACATTGGACCATCAGGACTATGCAAGCGGTTCCAGGGCCGACACTAGTCAGATGAGGGCATTGCCTTGGTTTTTCTGACCCTATGAGATAAGCCAGGGCATTTGTTTGAGCCTCTGAATTTATAGCATTTTAGAGTCATCAGGGAGCAATTTAAAGCACCCAGGCAGGCACATATTAGGAAATACTTTCTTTGAAGCTGTACTTTATTGGGATAGAATTTATATGCAGTAAAAGCAGATTTCTTAAGTATAACTTCTGATGAGGGTACGCACACACAACCATCACGCATATCAAGATGAAAAACTTCCCCATACACCAAAAGGTCTCTTCATGCCCCTTCAACCCCCATCCCCCAAAGCAACCACTGTTTTCATTTCTACCACCATACATTCATTCTGTTACTGAACTTTATATTAATGGAATCATACCATACTATATTATTGTGTCTGGTCCCTTGCACTCAGTGAATATTGAAGGAGTGAATGAATGAATGAGGCCAAGCATGTTGGCATATGCCTGTAATCCCAGCACTTTGGAAGGACCATTTGAGGTCAGGAGTTCAAGACCAGCCTGAGCAACATGGTGAAACTCAGTCTCTACTAAAAATACAAAAATTAGCTGTATTAGAGTGGTGGCATGCACCCATAGTCCCAGCTACTAGGGAGGCTGAGGCAGGAGAATCACTTTAACCCAGGATGTGGAGGTTACAGTGAGCTGAGATTACGCCACTTAACTACAGCCTGGGTGACAGAGCAAGACTCTGACACACACAGACACACAGACACACAGACACACACACACACACACACACACACACACAGACATACACTCCCAAAAAAACAAGAATGAATGACAAGTTAATAAATGAACCACTTGGGGCTGGGCGCAGTGGCTCATGCCGGTAATCCCAGCACTTTGGGAGGCCCAGGGTATGGATCATGAGGTCAGGAGATTAAGACCATACTGGCCAACATGCTGAAACCCAGTCTCTACTAAAAATACAAAAATTAGCTGGATGCAGTGACACATGCCTGTAATCCCAGCTACTCAGGAGGCTGAGGCAGAAGAATTGCTTGAGCCTAGGAGGTGGAGATTGCAGTGTGAGGATATCGCACCACTGCACTTCCAGCCTGGCGACAGAGCAAGACTATAAATAAATAACCACGTTCCTGAGTCGTAGCAGACTGCTTCTGTGAGGGATTCTGTAGGCCGCACGTTCTCCGTGGGATCAAAGGGTGATTTTTGCATGGGAAATGGATCATTGAACAAATCTCATTCTTGCTATATACGAAGCATAGAAGTCCACACAGTCCGTAAATATATATGGTGTCTCTGTGGTATTAAAATTTCATCATGGGTAATTAGGAAAAAGGGTTCTTTTAGGGGCTAAGGGGGTAACAGTGAAAAAATGACTGATCAGCACTACTCTAAGGATCAGGAAGTTCCTTTCTGCCTCAGCTGTCTCTGCTTCCTCAGTTTCTCATCTGTAAAACTGATGTCGTAATAGTGCCTACTCCCTAAGGTTGAGTGGAAATTAGATAAGCGGGTATATAGTTCTTAGCAGATGTGGCCAGCTTTTACTTAAGTGTTGGTGAATTCTACCCCTCAGCTCCATCAGTCATCTGGCTAGGGTGTGGGCTAGGGTCATCACACTGCCTTGGTTCACGTCCCGTAGCTGACACTTACTGGCATGGACAAGTTACTTAACCTGTCTGAATCTCAGTTTACTCATATATAAGATGGGAATCATTGTGATGGTGATTTTATCATGCTGTTGTGAGAATGAAGTGATACAATGAGGTAAAGAGCCACAGCAAGCCCCCAGTAATAATGGTAAGGTCATCTGCTGTCATTTGTCTAGTTCTCTTGAGACATCTTCTCATGCTTTCTTCAGCCATATTTTATATCAGAAAACTCTGTGCCACTGCTTCTGGATTATTTATGTCAAGTGATTATACTCTGGATTGCACCACCGCTAATACCTCTTTATATGTAAAGACATTTAAGATATCAGTGACTTTTGAGATTTCAGCCTGTGAGTATCCTTAACATCTGATAAAGTGTCCTTAGTATTTAAGAACTGGCCAGGATACTGTCCTGCAAGTCATTTGAGGATATGCTTTTGTCCCACTGTCTTTTTATTTTATTCTAGGATTCTATATTGATTTTTTTTTCTTCAGAAACAAGGTCTCACTCTGTCACCCAGGCAGGAGTGCAGTGGTGCAGTCCTAGCTCACTGCAGCCTCAAACTCCTGGTCTCAAGAGATCCTTGCACCCCAGCTTGCTCCCCAGTATCTAGGACTATAGCCATGTGCCACCACACCCAGCTAAACTATTTTACTTTTTGTAGAGATGGGGTCTTGCTATGTTGCTCAGACTTATCTAGAATTTCCAGCCTCAGACTGTGTTCCCAACTTGACCACCCAAAGTGCTGGGATTATAGGCATGAACCACTTTGGCCTGTATGTCAGTTCATTTACTCTCACTCCATTAGCTCTAAAAAAAAAACCTGCTTCCCCAATCATGTTTATGTTTTCCTCCCATATGTGTTTGGATGAAAACTAAAAATCATGTGATATTAATGATTGCCTTATATAAAGACATACATGTCTTTTTATACTTTGAGGCCCTTTTGCAAATCAAAGTAGATGGGTTTAGGGGGCCGGGCACGGTGGCTCAAGCCTGTAATCCCAGCACTTTGGGAGGCGGAGGCGGGCGGATCACAAGGTCAAGAGATCGAGACCATCCTGGTTAACATGGTGAAACCCCGTCTCACTAAAAATACAAAAAATTAGCTGGGCATGGTGGCACGTGCCTGTAATCCCAGCTACTCAGGAGGCTGAGGCAGGAGAATTGCCTGAACCCAGGCGGCGGAGGTTGCGGTGAGCCGAGATCGCGCCATTGCACTCCAGCCTGGGTAACAAGAGGGAAACTCCGTCTCAAAAAAAAAAAAAAAAAAAAAAAAAAAGTAGATGGGTTTGGGAGAAGAATTGTTACTCCATCTATTAGCTGAGAACACTGAGGCTGGAGGTAAGTGGCTCAAGCATTCAGTGGAAAGAGCCAATCATGCCTTGTCTCTAGGACTGGAACTCCCTCCACTTGAATCCAGTTCTCTTTCTTTTCCTCCCCCTAATTGAGGTGTGGAGGAGGCTCAGCCTTCTTTGGACCTGGGAACCTTTGATGTGGATACTTTCATCACACCCAACAGTTATTCTCTGTTGTTAATTAACAGTTAAATTCATTTCTACTTTCCTGCCTTTCTTG